AGGTCCTACTTGAGTTGCTGGTTCACTCACTCCGGTCTCTCCAGTTGCTGCTCTGTGGTTCCTCTGACTCCTGCTCTTATCCTGTTGCTGACACGTGGGCCTCCATACACCTATGTGCACACAAAGTAGAGCATCTCATCCAGGAAAACAGTTGGCAATAGAATTTAATAAGGTAGGACTGACTGTGCTGGTGAGTACAGGGCATGGCCAGACAAGTGTATCAACTAGCAAACTGTTCACATGCAACTGACCCTATTTACCTGCTTATCTTATTTTTCCCATGCTTGTTCCTGTCCAAATCACTGAGATCCATCCTTTTCCCTGCCTTTGGCTCTTCCCTTAAGCAATGCAAAAAACCCCCTAAACAAGCCTTGCACATCCCAAAATGTTCTTCCCCTTCATCACATGATGTATCTTGCACCCCTAAGCAGTAACACCCCTTGGTCTGAAAGGTGTGCTGGAGTTTATATTGACTCATGGGGTAGGTGTCAGACCTGGACCGTAGGGCAGAGGCTTTGCTGGGGTAGGCTTGGGACTAGCCTGGACAGCATGAATCAATAATTTGGGTTTGTCCCAACTGCTGTTGTGCCTCTGTGTTCATCTGGGATGGTGGAGATAAGCCTTTGATGGGCTAATGGTTCCTGTGATGAGTTTGGGAAGAGACATGTGAAAATATTATCTGGATTCCACCACCCACCATATTTTTGGCACTGTGTACACAATTTTTTTACATTTAAAGTTGTGAGAATTTCATCATTTACTCACATATCTCATCTGCCAAGTGATTCTTGAGACAACTTTTCCCTGTGCAGATGAGGCTGCCAACACTGCTGCTGTGTACATAGAGTAACTTGCTTTGCACCTCATGCGCTGCTAGAGCTTGTCTGTAGGTTTGGTTGGCATACTTCTGAAGCTGTAGTTTTGCAGAGCCTTGTGGTGGAGCAGTGGAAGACACACTGCCATAAGACAGTTTTAAACTCTACTACAGTGGAAAGGGGTCATAAAAATAGAATTTCTACCAAGGCCTCCTGAGAATCTTCAGGCTGGTAAATGTAAAATGCTACTGAAAAGCATTCTCATGGTAACTCGTGTTCACATGTTGAACATGGTTTACTTTTCACTGTGTTTCAGTTCTGATGTTAAGATTTTGTTTCAGTTGCCTTGCCGGTTTTGTTTTGTGGAGAATGTGAACTGACAGAATAAAGTACATGGCTTTATAGATGTTCCAGTCTCTGGCGGTAGGAGGCATAAAGACATAAAAGCTAGAATATATGCAAACAACTCATTGCTTTAAATTCAAGTTTATGAGACAAGACTCCTCATGCCTTTCGTGCTGGAGGATCTAGTCTTAGGCATGAGAACTGTGTGAATTGTATCTTTAATAGCTTCTCTGCTGTCCTAGCTAATTTTTGTTTATCTTTTCCCTCCTCTTCCTCTTTTCTCTCACCTTAAAAAAACCCAAACAAAACAACTCAAAACCAACCAGAGGAAAACCCCTACCTTTTGACCCCAAAAGACTTAGGACTGTCTCAGTTTTTGCTAACAAAATAGTGATGCATCTGTACCTTTTGACCCCAAAAGACTTAGGACTGTCTCACTTAGTTTTTGCTAACAAAATAGTGATGCATCTGCGTTATTTCTAGAATTATGCTTACCTTTGGATAAGAAACTCTTCCCGCCTTCCATGTTTTTTCCTTTCCAGAGTTAACTTTTCTTTTTAGTTTCACTTCTCCTTTCAATATCACATAATTTTTAAACTTAAGACCACTATGCAGCCTGTATTGTGTTTACATGGGCAGTTCTTTTTTTTTTTTTTTTTAAAGAATTTAGGAGAGAATAGTTTTTAATGAATATTTCTGCAGTCTTTTTGTACTCAGTATTTAATTATTTTACAATTGTTTCTTTTTAGATTATGTGTCTGAAATACAGTTTTCCTCATCTTTGGTAACTATGTGCTATGATGATAGGAATACATTGTTGTTTGAATTAATGAGCTGGCTGGAGATTCCCTGTTATGTTTTTGTATAGAGTATTAGAAAAATTCTAGCTTTTCTTCTTTGAATGCCCAGAAGTATTTAATTGCACTCTTTATTTTCTTCTCACTCCTTATTGCCTTTGAACTCTTCCATCACTACGTCAGAACAGAGATTAGTTTGGAGAATTTTGAAGAGACTTTACTGTGGAAATACTTTGTATGAAGACCATATGAAACACTTCTAATTTTTTATAATTAAATAATAATAATATTAATTTTATAATAATTAATTAATTTTAATGTTGGCCCTACAAAGACCTTAAGGGAAACGTTTGTCCCTTTCAGAAAATCATTGTCCTTTAGGACTCTTCCTGTATGGGTCTGTACGTATTTATTGGTAAAATAAATAAATAAGAAAAAGGGCAGACATCTTTAGAAAAGATAGAAGGTCAAACCAGCTTTAAACTATAGTGGCACTTTGTGTTAAAGCTAACTTTAGATATTCCCCATTGGTTAGCCTGGTTTAAAACGTTTTTGATGTAGCATGGAAGACTATTGAACTATATTTTTGCCGTTTTCTCCTCTATGCACTTGGATCACCAGCAACATCAATGGTAGATTTCATTACAACCAAGCAATGAAATTTCTATTCTTTCTGTATGGTGCTTCCTGTGGACCATGAAATTATTCTCATGTATGGAATATTGAGAGGTATTAACTTTTTTGGACCACCATCAATGTATAATTAAAAAGGGAAGTGTATGTAGAATACCCACACTGTACTGCTATGTAGGTCTTGTGAATTTCCTTTTTTTTAATCTAACCCCTTAATCTTATTTTTAGGATGCATTGTTTTAAATTATTTAAAGCAATTTTTTTCACACATGCTTAAATGTGCTTATAATCCTAGTATCTCACTTTTTCTTACATGTTCTGCCAAATCAAATGTATACCAAGAGTGTGCTTCCCTCCTGTAGGACAAGTGGGATAAGATTTGGTGAATATGTGGGAATATGGATGATATGGCCTAATCTGTAATGTTGCAAAGCATCTACCATACAGTCTAATATTTAAGGGGACCTTAAAAACAAAGCATAAACTAAAAATGTGAGCAAGTGAAAGGAAGTAAAATACCCCTTTTCAAGGATGAACTGTCTCTCATCCTTGCACTGGTGCTGCCTGTTCCTATGGAGCAAGAGCAGCTCCAGGACTGCATGGGGTATTTAATGGCAGAGACTGGGGTGGTTCTGCCTGGCCTGAACTGCTGTTGCTGCTGCTGTGTGGAGCAGGGGAAGGAAGAGGGGACAGGTGGGGAACATGGACTGTAAGGAAGGGGCTGAGATTTTTCAGGAGAGATGGGTAAGGGCTGTAGGGCACACATCTCTTAAACCTAATTCACTTAGTTCTCTGCTCTGCTGACTGAACCATGGGCTGAAATCTGCCAAAGTGTCTTCCCTCTACCCCTGCTTCAGGTCTGTGTATGAAGAATCTTGAAATATAATGGTTTGTTTCTCAGGTTATGCACTTGATAGTGAACAGTGGGGCATGGAGAACCTACTGGCTAACTCTTTCTTTGGAGCAGGTGTGCTGCCTTTCATCAGTGTTCTGTGAAAGCCATTGTTTGAGGAGAAAAATCTCGTCTAATAGTTTTTTTTTTTTTTTTGTTTTTTTTTTTTAAGATTCTGGTCTAGTCATTGCAGTTTGCAGTTTGGCTTCATCCCCCCCACGCTTGACATAGACTACTGATTTTAAAAACAGGAAGGAAAATTGCTGTCTGGTCAAGATGCAAGATGTTTTTTGCACTGATGACTCTATACTCACTTCCAATGATGTTACCCTCCCTTTTACTTTTGTTGCATTCTTTTTCTTCCTGGGTCTTGCCTATGTAATTATTCCTGTAGAGTGTGCTTTCCTCATTGTGTACTGGTTTGATGGAACACTGAAGGGCCCCATCACCCATGCTGAGCTCTTTTATATTTATGCCATGTTAATTTTCTGCTTTTGCATGTTCTACAGCCATCTGTATGTGAGTGGCTTACAATCTATTTCTATGTTCCAAAACCTGTTCCTTTTCAGTTTTGAACAGGAAGAATTAAAGTCTTTTTGTTTTTCCTCTAAATCTCTCTTCATGGATGTCTAATAGTCAATTCTTGCTCTGACTAGAGTGGCACACTTGTACCCAATTTTTTTTACTAATTTTCTTTGCTCTCTCTGATCTTAATTCCACACACGCTATAATAACTTTACTTGTCATTTAGTTTGTTAACTTTGATGTGCTTATTAAGTGATATCTCAAGATACTTATCTTCAAGATATATTGAAGCCTCAGAATATTTTTGCATAGCATTTCAAAGATGTAAGTCTACTGATATGGTTGAAATCTTGTCCAGAATCTCTTATGTTGGTGGTAAGTCCTAAGGATTATTCATGAAACCATGAGTAGTGTATCCTACTTAATTTTAATACAGGAGGTGATGGTTTTTATGATTCTCCTAAATAATTGGAGCACAGAAAAGCACTAAGTTTTGGATAACATAATCCAAATAAAAAATAAATACAATGGTGTCTTAGTTATGCTAACTTGCTTTTTAATAAAAAGTCGTTTCTTTGAATATCTGTATATTCTAATACAATGTCAGGGGTACAGCTGTTTCAGAGTAACAAAAACCATTTTAAAACTATGCTTTTGGTAAATAACCCTGCTTTTTCATATTTTTACATGTAATGGTTGGGAAGAACTCTTCATAAATTGGTTTTGTAGATATCTTTTCCTTCAAACTTGCCATAAAATTCTCATGTTCTGCATGATTTCTCTATAATGTAATCGGATTTTGGTCTGTTAATTCAAATGCTAAGGCAACTGACCGTTATATGTATCTTTAGTAAAACCTTTTAAAGTAAAAGTTAAATAACAGGCAAGTTACCACAGAAAAATAAGGATGTTTAGCTTCTAAGAACACCCATCATAATTGGGGTTACATAGAATGGAAACAGTATGTAATACCTTATACCTTTTCTCTTTCAGTTGGATAGATTTGCCAGTATAAGAATTCCAGGAAGTAAAAAGGAAAGACCTCCTCTGCCGCATATGAAGCAGTCACATTCTACAGATTGGTCATCCACACCTATGGATGCAGAGGATTTTGCTCCAAAACCCCTGTCAGAAAGAGAAATCACAGCGCTGTTTGAAAAAATGATGGTAAGAGTCTTATGCTGATTTCTTTTACTTAAAGCGTGACAACGTGGCTAAGTAATAGGAGGAGCCTTCTTCTGTGCATATGTTCTGATCTTTACCTGAATTACATTCTAATTACGTGGTTTTTGTAGGGTGTTTATCAGGGGATAAAGTATTTCAATTATTTTGACAAGATTTTGCTCCAAATATATTTAAAATGGAAACTAAAAGTTTCCGATTATTAGAAGTGAGACGATGCAACTGATTTTGAGAATGAACAAGGAATGGGGAATCCTGCATGCTTTCAAGACGACCTGAAACTTCTACAAAGGGATTTTATGCCTTTGAATGTCACAGCAGGGTTTTGTTCTGAACTTACATTCCATGTCACCCTTGCACAAAAAAGACTTAAGGTTCTTGCCTCAAAAGCAGCATTTGTCTGCACATGCAGTCTCAAATTTGCTTTCTTCCTTAGCTGTCATAGTTACTGTGTTACAAAAGAGCAGTCACTTTCTGGAAAGATCATGTGGCATTGGTACCACCTCAATAGGTTGAGGTTTTTTGTCATGATGATGATGATGACATTTTGGGCAACTGAAAACTAAACATGGAATGGCCATGAGAGAATAGAGTGATTGCAATCTGAAGAGCACAAGAGGACATTAACAAGGAGAGTGATGCCTAGATTATTATTTCTTTCTCTGCCTCACAGCAAGTAACAAGTAACTCTTGAAACGCAAAGGGACTACCAGGGGCTGGGATGTGGAGGAAATTAAATGTGCTATGAGAGAGGTACCTTTATGGAATTTGTAATTCCTAGTATTCAGTAACGTTAGTTTAGTTTTGAAGATGCTTTTGTAGAACTGTTGAGAGCTATGACTAAGAGGCAGGATTCAGGATTTTCATGGTTAAGCTGATGAAGGGAAGGACTAATTTACTGTGTTACCAACTTTTGTATTTGTTCTCACATGGTCCATTTTTATTGGTATACCTCCGTGTCTAGGATATTTTACTTCTGTTAAGAAATTCTACTGTGAATGGTAGTTGCTCAAATGTTAGGAAATGGGAGAGGTCTTACAAAAATTGAAGGTAAGCCTCCCTGTACACAACCCGTGGTACATGAATGTAGGTTTTCTTTCTCTACTATCCCCCACGGATTCTGGTATAGGATAGTGTGTGGTGTTGAGACTATGCCATAAAAAAATGGAAACTTTCAATAAATCCTCAGAAACCTACTACTGTGTGTCTAGGTAAACAGAAATGCTTATATCCATGGGTCCTGAAGCAATGAATTCAAATTTTATAACTACTTTGTAAAAATATGTTCAAGTAATGATGACATCCTGGATAATTTGAATGCTTTCCTAGTTTCATTGAATAACAAAGCACTTAATGTCTTTGATAAACTACTTTATCAGTGTTATTTTAGCTATAACATGTAATGCAGAAAGGATTCTTCAGATTATACACACTTGAATGGACTGGAATAAAGCTAGTTTAGTCACAGTAGATTACATAGCTAATTATATATTGTAGTCTCTAGTTTGCTGTTCTGATCAAATTACGTGATTTGGGGCTGGTGAACAATTTTAATGTTGTAGCCAGGCTTTTAGAGCTGATTTTGCACAAAATAAAAATAGTCAATTGGTTAGTGCTGAAGGGAGCAGTTTCTAAATTCTGAAGTTTCACTCAATGTGTTACATTATACTTTGGGTTTTCCTGGAAGCATATTGCTTCCTTCTCCCAATCTTTCATGCAGTGGCATCCTGTGTGGTTTTGATGGCAAAAATTATGGAAGAGCTCATACAACCAGACAGTTAAACCTAGTAATTAACTGTCATTTAGCTCTTTTAACTTCTGTTAGTGCTATTAGGAAAATATCCATGTGAAATGACTTATTCTTGTTTTCCAAAGAGGTATTGCTCACCTGTAGAATAACTTCAAATGATTTAAGATGAAATAAAAGAATGGTGTTGAAGTATTTTAAAAACTAGGCCACATCTGATGTGCCCCAGGTACCGCTGAATACTTCTAATCTGTATAAATCAATTGCTTTAATAAAGTTGCATTTGTTAAAAACAACAACAAAGAAATTACTTTTTACTGCACACACAGACAGAATATTTCCTATGGGTTGTACTAATAGGTTTTTCTTCTTTTTTTTTTAATATTTTTTTAATGTGATTAGAAGATAATTTTGGGAGGAAAAACAACCCCTTTTTTTTCCTCTTTGTTATATAAGTTCAGAAGTTATTTTTCAGAAAACTGAAAAGAACAAGTCTGAAAGAAGTGCAAAACTGCTTTAAACAGAAGAATGAACTTTGCAGTAGCTACAGGCTAATGTGAAAAGCTTTTTTTCTTTTGTTTGTTTTCCTTCCCCCTTAGGTAGGATATACATGCATTTCAATGTTGTTATGGAAAAAAAAAAACCTGGCATATTGCAGGCAAAGTACTGAAGATAACTCTCAGAAAACATCGAGAAAGGCCTAGCTATATGTTTTTGTGAAACTTAAAATGGAATACTTTGCTTTCAGTGTTTGTATGTTTCTGTTTATGTAGGTTTTAAAAATACAATTTAAGTATTAAATAAAGTACAGCTATCCTTATTAAATATACAGGTAAAGTGTATTTTCATTTGAAGCCAGTATTGCTATACAATTATATTCCTGTGGAAAGGAATCCTGAGGCACAGTGTTCCAAAGACATTTATTGGGACTTGCAGAAAAAGCCAAATTTATCTGGTAATGTCAAGCTGGACTTGATTTTAGTAATTTATGGTAAAGGGTTGTTATGTGTGTATCTCAACATATGTGTTGCCTGGTTATAAGAATAGTCAAAAATATGTTGTGCATTTAGTAGAAGGTAATTAACTAAACTGAAATATTACATAAAATAAGAAATACCTGATAAATAAGAAGTACAAGATAAGATAACAAATGAAAGGCTAGAGGGAATACTAACATTGTAGTATTTTTGGCAATCTGACTTGATTTCGATTCTCTCCCCCCTATTTTTAAACTAAGGAAATGTCTTGGATAAGGTGTAAAGATTTTTGAACAGTTGTTGAGAAATTAAAGTTATAGGAGTTTTCTGGTTTTGAAAGAATTTGTTATTGAAAAAAGAACTTCCTTATCTGTTCTTATTTTAAATGCTTTTTAGCAGTTCCCAGATCTTTATGTCCAAAACCATATATCAATGTCAGAATTCATTGATGGATTGTAAAAATCCTGGCTAGTTTTGTAATTAACTGCTAAATGCTTGACCAGTAAATTAAAATATTTAGATTGATTTGTTGTGTAACTGGTTTAATTTTTTAAGTTTCCACCTGACCATTTAACAGCATGCTTAACAGCCTTCATTCACCCTTCCTTTGAGCAGGTGATTACTCTTTAGTGTTTCAAACTCAAAAACCTAGACACTACTTTTTGTGGTTGATCATGTGTTCTTTCTCATCTTAAAAAAAATGCAGTGACTTTTTAAAGTTTTGATAGAGATGGGTAACTTTAAATATCTTTAATTTTTTTTTCCAAATGGTGTATACACACACAAAAAATTTTTGCACTTTATATGTCTTTGAAGAAAATTATTTCTTTGCATACAATATATGATCCCAACAGTGTTTTTAATGCATGTGTATTTAAGCCTCTTTTTTTTTATTTTAGTATGGATTTTTGAGTCTGTGCAGCATTTTTGGATCACACCAGGTTTCCCATCATTAAGTAAATCACAGTAGTTTTTTGTTTTGCTTTCATCCAAGAAAAGCTAGAAAAATGCAGCATACCCTTTCAAGATAATGTCCCCAACATTTGATTTAGTATGAGGCAACTTGCAAAATATTCAGGAACGTGTGTGTCCTTATGCACTGCTAGAATTTTGGGTAGGTCATAAGCTAATACTTTCTCTCTGAATTTTTTGATCAAAGGAACGCAGTATTTTGAAGAACAGGACTGTATGAGCAAAGTATCTGTGGCCTCCTTTCTTCCAGCTTATTTAGACAAATTTTTTTTTTCCTTTTGCTTTCAGATGTAGGAATTAACACCAAGCTAGTTGGCTGACAAGGAGGCAAAAGATTATGTTATTATTGCTTGAATGAATACTTTTTAGAACATGCACCCTGTATTTACTTGATACTAAAAATACCAAAAAAATAATATAAAGTATATATAGTATAGTATCAGATTTATATATTTGATAAATACACTATATACTATCAAATAAACAATAAAATACTAATTAAATAATTTATTAAATAATAAATAATAATTTTAATGCATGCTAGACTGAAGTCAGGAACTTTTTGTAGTCCTTAAGGAGAGGAAACAGTAGCATATTTTGGTGGTGGTGGTAAAATCCAGAATCTACACAAAATTGCCCTAATTGTTCTTTTAAGAAGTTCAACTTAAGGGGTCAAGCATTTTCTGTAATGTCTTCTCACAGCTTGGATTTATACAAAACTTTAAATGTTTCTAGGAACTGTGCTTGATTCTATCCTATTCAGTATGAAAACTAGTGAAAGACAAGGAAATTTAGGTTCCAGTGTAGTATAAAATTCTGTGGGTTTTTTTGTCTTAAAATTCTAAGGTTATGAGTTTTCTTGCTCTTTGTCTTTGATTTCTGACAAGGTGAAATAGCTTTGATATCAAAATTGTTACCTGCTGATCCTCCTCCTGCCAAAGCTGGTAGGGATTCACCTTGTGAGTCTCAGCTGAAAATAACTGCAGTAATTCTTGCTAAGCTTGGGTGACCATAGTAATGCTGTATGTGCTCCTATGTGTGGTGCGTGCCTAAATTGTTTCTTTTTTTTTAAACCTTTTTTTTTTTTTTTTTTTTGCCTCCAGCATGATAGGAAATGTCATTTCTCACAGATGTGGAACAGAGTACAATGATCACAGCATTTCTAGGCTGCAATAGTAGTAGTCCCTGTGTCAGAAATGTCAATGAATACCTGCTGTGTAGCTTTGAATGTGTTTCTGCATCTGCTCTTTTTGACCTCTGGGTTTATGTGGAATAAATTAATTGTGATGGAGTTTTGATGACAGTTGAAGGTGTTGATTTAATGATCAAGTGGTCAAGAATTTGGGCCTTACCTATTGCAAAGGTGAATCTTATTTTGTGAACTACTCTCAGGGCAAAGCAGATTCAGCTGCCCAGGATTAAGTATTTGGGAACTGAGGAACAGAATTACAGAACAAAGGGATAATTTTTTTAAATCAGTCTCTCATAGTTAAACTGTGTTGCTGGATGACATTTAAAACTTTTTTTTTGTCTTCCCATTCTAGGAAGATATGAATTTAAATGAAGACAAGAAGATGCCGTTGAGAGAAAAGGATTTTAATACCAAAAAAGAAATGGTGATGCAATATATTAGCACTGCTTCAAAGTCTGTAAGTAAATTTCTCTGAAGTACACCAAAAATGAATTACTATTTACATTATTTGTTATTGGAGAGAAAAAGTGCTGCATACATGTTACATTCTTTTGACCAACTTTTGTTTCTGATAGACACACGCAGTTTTAAAGGGCACTATCTCCTTACTTTACAAGCTGCAATGAAAGATACTCCCTTGTACTTGAGGTGTGTCTTCTGTACACAGAACATTTCTTTTTGGTAGAGGTATGGCTATTAGTGGAGATGGAATGATTCTGCAGAAAGGTTCTTGGAAAAGTTTGATGTGAACCTTTCTTTTTTTTTTTCTAGCACTGTTTAAAAAGAATTCCTTAACTGATTAGACTTTTTCATATTTGACTTCAGTACAGAATTCATGTTGTGGTGCTGTGTAATACTTCATAATGGAAGTGTTGCATGTGAACCCAATTAGTATCTGCTTTTTACTTACTGTGATAATTACTGGTTGTTTTAGAGAAGTGCAAGGAGTTGTGTACTGGGCAGTTCAAGGATTAAGTTGGCATAAGAAAAACTACTTTAGTTTTTGTAAATTGGGGACTGACTCCAGTGCTAAATGCTGCAATGCTAATATTATCGTCAGACCTCCTGGTCATTTTAGAATTCATATTTTTGATTCTTTGACTCTTGCTGCTCTGTACATGTAGAGATATCAGTAAAAATGGCCTATATGTAATTATAACTAAATACTAAGAAAATAAGACATTAAATATAGTAATTTAATGAGGTATTTATCTTACTGTCTACTTTAAATGATGTAATGCTCTAGCACTTTTAGGAAGGTAGGTGCCTGAACACTGAACTGTCTGGAGATTGTTTTATTTAAGATGAGCTTATCAAAGCTACTAGTCCTATAGCATAAAAGCTCCTTAGTACCAGAAGATTAGGAGTCTAGCCTGTTTTTCTTTTTTTTTAGAGATATTTAATGGGAATTCATGGAACTTCAGGCTAGTAAATCTCGCAACATTCTTGTTTCTCAGCCTAAAACAGCATGTGAAGGTTTATGACATTGATACCCCTAGCCTCCACACTTATTCTGACCTCAGTTGTTTGATCTACAAAGTAATATTATACTGGGACATGGCTGGCTGTGCAGAGTTGCTGCATCTGCATCTGTTGCTGGAATCTTAGCATCATGATGCTGTTTCTCTGAGAAAGGTTTCCATGTTTGCTCTTTGCTTCCAGGCACTTACTATTTGCAAAGAACTGAAGCCTATAGCAGAGTAGGTTTCATCGATCCTTCTTTCTGAGTGCTGTTTGCAATAAATATTTTTTTTTTCTTGGTTGTCATCATACTTGTTTTTTTGGCAGTGGAGCTTCTTGCACTATGCCCGAAGCAGCCATACAAGGTACTCTATTGAAGAGGACAGGTCTGTTTCCTCTCCCAGGGTAGTGATTTGTTCCCATACACTGTTGCCTTGCATGTTTTCATAAAGCCCCCAATAGCATTTTTTTCCTTTCCATTCCCTCCTCTGCTGCCAGCCCATCTATCTGCCTTTCTGGTGTGGGAGGTTACTGAAGACTAATTCATGCAGGGAAACTCTTGTCTTTACTGAACTCTGTTCCTATTGTTGTATGCTTACTGGAATTGGCATTCACTCATTGTATAACCAGGAGGAGCTGTTTCTGTGAAGCATAGATTCAGCTGTTTGATACAGTAGTGCTGCAGACAAATTCAGCTTAGTGCTGGAGTGACTGGGATGGGAAACTCCTTCCCTTGCCCTTGCAAACTCGTCATTCCTGGCATGCTCTTTCATGCCTCAAGTGCATTGGACTGTCTGAGTGCCTTCTCGGTCTAGAGGGAATAGTGCACTGCGTGCCCAGGGCACCTGGCTAAATTTTGGTGTACCTTGACTTGATGAGTGTCGTACTTTTTCAGAAGAGCTGAAGTGCCATGTAGCTCCTGAATATTAGGTACCTCTCATTCTATGAGTGATGCTGCAGTAGCGTCCTTTGGTAGTTCATACTTTAAGGAGGTGGGTACTAAGCTATGTTGTGTTGGGACAAATATCCTCATTTGCAACTTCTGTGCAGAGTAGTGCTATGCAGAGCAGGTTTCATCTAAAGCAGTTATGATTATAAAAACTATTAAAATGAAGAACAGAAATCTTAATGAATTGCTGAAAGCAGCCTCTGATGATTGAAGCGGACTCCACTGTAGTCAAAGCTTCATCACTGACCTCAGAATCAGGGTTTCTGTTTCTTAGAAATGCAGAACTCCTTTCCAGTATTCACAAAGCACATCTCTGTTATTGATGCATTTAGAAATTATGCTGGGTTTGATGGGGTTATGCTCAGGTGCTTATTTATGTATAGAATACTGTGACCTGCCTCTGTGTACACATGAGATGTTTAGAATGAATCCATCACTTCAGGACTCAAAGTTACTTAAAAGTAACCAGAGTTCTACTGGCCTGCATTGTCTAATCGTCATTTTACTCCACTTTGCTTCGAGACTTCTTAAACAGCTGGCTGAAAGCATGCTTCTGTATGTATGCCTGTGTATGTTTGTCTGTAAATATGCTGTTATCATCACTCTCTATAATGTGTTCAGGGGCTCCCCGTGTAGAAGTATTCCTACAAATAGACAGTCTTGTGGTACGGGATACAACTACCTGAACATACCCTCTACAACTGCCTGAAAGGAGGGTGTAGCGAGGTGGGTGTTGATCTCTTCTCCTAAGTAAGAAGCAATAGGATGAGAGGAAATGGCCTCAAGTTGTGCCAGAGGAGGTTTAGATTAGATATTAGGAAAAATTTCTTCACTGAAGGGGTTATCGGGCATTGGAACAGGCTGCTCAGGGAAGTGGTTGAGTCCCCATCCCTGGAGGTATTTAAAAGGCAGGTGGATGAGGTGCTTAGGGACATGGTTTAGTAGTGGACGGGTATGGTTGGACTCTATGATCTTAAAGGTCTTTTCCAACCAAATGCTCCTATGATTCTATACTAGTAGTACTTAATGAAAATTTGAACGATAGCAAAAATTGTGTGCTTGGAAGAGTTCTGCTCAAATAGTTCAGTATTCTGGTAGTACTTTCTTGTTTTCTTGTAACATGTAGTGTTTAGATGAAGCCTTATTTCTTCCCTTAAAAACATTATCTTAGAGACGTATATCACATATGGTTTAAACCATCGTGGCTTGGAAATCTGGAATGAAATTTCTGTCTCCTGCGGTGTCATGTCTTATTTATTAGGAAACATTTGGAGAAGAGAACTACTGGTTGTGTTTAAAGGCTATTATGTGAGCATGAACTCTCATCTACCAAAAGCAGTGTGGTTCTGTTTGTTGCTAGAGACTGTCATGTCCAGTGTATTTTCTGTGGTTTTGTTGCCATTTGTATGTATTATGATAATCTGAGGTTAGAAACAGCATCACATTTTTAAGTGCTATGTAAACACATACAAAGATGTTCCCCCTCAGAAAAGTTTTAAAAATCAGTTTCAGTGTTACAGAGTTAATACTCCAGTGGAAATAAAAGCAGCATTGCTATAACGTTACTCTATCCTAAGTTTTGCTGTTCTGTATGTTGAACACACCCAAACTGTGTTTTTAAAGTGAGTTTTCTTCACAAGATTTTGTTTTTGTTATGCAGCTTACTCCCTTGTAATGTTTTAACTGAATTAATTAATGCTGACTTCATACTGCATCTGCTCACAGACCAGTTGTTCTTCAGTTGAGCAATTAAATTTCTAGAGGCACTGATGCCTCAAGATATTTCCTGTTTCTCAGTTAACTCGAGCATTTTGAACTTTAAGCAGCTTTTCCCATGCAGAAATATAGCTAATATAATCAGTTTCACAATTGGTACCAAATGCAGCTCTCATTTTATTTAAGCACTGGCAGATGTATCATATTCTTATTATGTTGCAGAACCTTGGCGTAACTATGAATAAGTGGTGCTTGGTACTGTGGGTATGTTGTACAGACATTCACAGTTTATTGGCATCTTTTGCATAGGCTAATGTTCAGGTGGGGAACTGAATCTGAAACAGGATGGCTGGTTACTGTCTGGATGTTGATGTGAGTCTCCATTGCTTGTGACACTGTCTTCAGATGGGTCAGATGAGACTCTGAAATGTCATTCTAGTGAATTCTCATAGTCTGGCTGGGCTCTTGTCCCATGTGACCTTTCCACTGCACACATTACTATTGATTATATGAAATTACTTCCAAAATATTGTCTAACCATTTTAACTGTATGTCCTGTCCATACGACTGTCCTGTATGACTGTTTCTGCATCTTAAGAAAGCAATTTTACTGACTATTTATCAGTATCTTGGTTATATTGAGCTTGGTCAATTTTACAGCAGGAACTGCTGGGGGAATTCACTGGAAATGACAGATTCTCCACCCAGGATATTAATCTATATGCTTAGGCATACAAATAGTGCTTATCAACTAGTCTAAGCACAGCAGGAGCTGCCAGGAGAATTTCTGGGACTTTTTGAAATTTCCAACTGGAGAGCTCCTGTAACACACACACACAGACACACACAGAATCGCAAGGGTTGGAAGGGACCTCGGGAGATCATCTAGTCCAACCCCCCTGCTAAAGCAGGCTCTCCTAGAGCATGTTACACAGGACTTCATCCAGGCGGGCCTTGAATATCTCCAGAGAAGGAGACTCCACAACCTCCCTGGGCAGCCTGTTCCAGTGCTCTGTCACCCTTAGAGTAAAGAAGTTTTTCCTCATATTCAACTGAAACCTCTTATGTTTCAGTTTGCACCCATTGCCCCTAGTCCTGTCGCTGGACACCACTGCAAACAGACTGCTTCCATCCTCGTGACTTCCGCCCTTAAGATATTTGTATGTGTTGATAAGGTCCCCTCTCAGTCTTCTCTTCTTCAGGCTGAACAAGCCCAACTCTCTCAGCCTTTCCTCGTAGGGGAGGTGCTCCAGTCCCTTTATCATCCTAGTTGCCCTCCTCTGGACTCTTTCTAGGAGTTCCTCATCTTTCTTGAACTGGGGAGCCCAGAACTGGACACAGTACTCCAGGTGGGGTCTCACCAGGGCAGAGGAGGGGGGGAGGATAACCCCCCTCGACCTGCTGGCCACACTCCTCTTAATACACCCCAGGATACCATTGGCCTTCTTGGCAACAAGGGCACATTGCTGGCTCATGGTCAGCTTATTGCCCACCAGGACTCCCAGGCCCCTCTCAGCAGAGCTTCCCGCTGAATGGCAGCACAGCCTTCCAGCATGTCAGCCACTCCTCCCAGTTTTGTGTCGTCAGCAAACTTGCTGATGGTACACTAATACTTTGTCATGAAGGCCGCTAGGAGTTTGGTCATCTTGTCTTTTATCCCATTTAGTCCATTATCTCACCTATGCAGAGATCAGCTGGGAAGATCCAGGATCGCACAGGGAACTGGATACGCTGCACATGCATACAGACATGGCCCTGATCCCCTGTTACACTGCAGTTGTAACAGTTTCCTCTTTATATCACAGCTGTAACTCAAATTCTTCTGATTGTGCCTCAAGGGTATATATTGTCTAGTCTTAAGATTTTTGGCGATTATTGTAACAGGATGGATGTATTCAGTGTATAAGCTCTTGAATAACCAGACAGAAACCCTTGTCACCAGTTCCCCTTAGCCAGTGAATTTGTAGTGTTTTGGGCAACTAATGGTATAGTAGCTTTTACTTTTTATGTTTTATCAAGTCTGATACTTAGTTCTTAATATCATGAATTTTTTTTGCTTTTTTTAGGATCTTCTACATTTGGCTGGGAGATTCTATCCAGTTGCTTTTTCATTCCTCTTTAGATGTAGCTATGTAAAAGCTGTAGGGGAGGATCACCTACCTTGACCGGTTGGTGATGCACTTCCCATGGTCAGTTTGTGATCCACCAGGACCCACAATTTTTTTTTCCTACAAACCTACTTTCCAACTGGTTGGCCCCAAAGTGTATTGGTGAATGGGATTATTCTTCCCCAGGTTTAGGATTTAGCATTTCCTGTTGTGGAACTCTCTGAAATTCCTCTGCCCATTTCTCCTGTCTGTTGAGGTCCCTCTGGTCTGCCAACCACTCTTCCCAGTTTTTAACTTCACCTCTCTGCTAGAAACTATTTCACCATCTACTTCAGTAGGAAAAAAGTATGTTTTTCGACACTTCCTGAGGATCTACTACAGATCTACCAACTTCTGTATGAAGCTCTGTATAATAACGTAATGAGACTGCCTCACCACTTACAGTGGATAATTTCAGGTTATTGCGCTGCCAGCCACTAGATAATAGAGTATTATTTGGTAACTCTCTTTAGTGCTACATGACAGAGGCGTTGTGCTTCTGCTCTCAAAAAAGGAGCCTTTCCAATGGATTAAGTCAAATATAGGTTGTATATCCCATTGTAAGCCTCTTTTTTTTGGAACTGAGATCTGTTGTGTAGAAAATATATCTATCCTTCTTCATGTAATAAATGGATACTAATAGAGTAGACTTATTTTCCACGGTCTACAAATTTTTTCCTTTGCTGCTACTTAAAAAAAAAAAAAAGGGAGGATACTCTTAAGAATAGGGTCAATGCCTCTTAGATTTGCCATTTTAATTGCAAATTGTGGAGTTTCATTAGTTCAGTATAACCATTGCTTTGTTTAAAACGATGGATACTATATATCCTTCAGAAGAGTCATTAATATCTGGAATTTACTTTAAGCAACTTTCAACACCACAGATACAGTGATGAATCAAAGTCAGTGTCAGTGTCTTCAACCTATATTGCTTGGAACAGAAAATGTTTTGCTTGCACAACACTACTTTTGCAGTGCTGCATTAACTTGCTATTGCATTTTCCTTTCTGTCTCCCTGTTCTTCATATCCCCAATTGCCTCCCCACCTGCCAAAAAGAGCAAAACCCAAAAAGCAAGGCAAAATGCAAACCTGAAGGTTGAGTAAGTGTCCTTATTGCATCAATAGTCATACTTGTGTTGCACTGCATTCTTACAGATGGCAAATAAAACAAATGAGGAGCTGGGATTTATCTTTAGAACTTCAGTGGTTCCAAAGAAGTAATTTTTAATTGTTTTTTTCTTTTTTTTAAATTTTTAAAGTTCCCTTACTTTAGTCCTTAGAGGGCCAAAGCTAGTCTGTTTTTATAATCCCAGGCTCATATACTCCTCATCTGAAGGACCTTTTAAGGGAAAAGCGTTTTACATTATCTGCAAGAACTCAAGTTACTGCAGTAACATCCTGAGTAACGCCAACTCTTCTGGTGCTCTGGTTCTTCCCTCTATATTCTCATATGACTGCTGTCACCCTTCTGGACACGTGCCCTGCGATCTCTTCAAAGCACCTCGGAACTGTTTTTTTCATTCTGTTGAGTACTGAAAATTAAGATGTTTGCAATGCATAAACAGAATCCATTCACTGCAAAATTTGTATTTTGCTGAGTGTGCGTGATACATTTCTACATTTGAAGCCTGCTGCTTTTGACTACTGATTATAAATTTGTTCATCAATTGACACAAATTTACTCAGCATTTAGCTTATATAGTAGATGGACAACAGTTACAGGTTTAGGATTAAATTATATCTTTTTCCCTCCTGTTTTTTCAAGGAATAGAAATGAAGGTTATCCATTAATAATCTATTCAAGTCCTATATGTGCCAAATAAGAATGTATTTTCTGTATTTCAGGGAAGTCTCAAGAACAGTCGGAAGATTTCACCCCAAGAGTTTATTCAGGAGTTAAAATCTGGGTCAACAGATGAAAGACTGGTCACCTGCTTAGAATCTCTCCGTGTGTCCTTGACTAGTAATCCTGTCAGGTAACATCATTAACACATATTGCAGAGATTAATCATATTCTTATTTCTTAATGGATTAAAACTTAAGGATCTGTAGATGTGCGTGTTTCAAGGTTTTCCTATTAATCAATGGGTATGCATTAGTGAATGATCAAACCTTTTTTTTCCTCATTGATTATGTATCTTCAGTAGATCTATTTTTCAGTAGATTTCACTGATCTGTACAGGGTAATGCTAAGAGAATGTAAAACAAGTGTAATGCAGAGCAGTTTGTTTTCTAGTGCTAAATAGTCAAAAGGTTTTTTAAATTTTTACTTTTGAAGTATTCTCTTAACTCTAATCTTTTAACTTACTTTGTCAGGGTGACCAATAATGGGAGGTAGACACCTTGGTGTTAAGTTTGTTAGCCAGAAAACATATATGTTTTTAATTGTGTGCTCCTCCTTCTGTCCAGTGTGCTTTAGGCTTTCTTCCTTGCTGCCTTCTAGTAATGTTTGCTGTATCTGTGGGGTTTATCTATGGAGAAGAGAGCACCACATTAGTTTACCTGGGATTTTTTTTTTAAAGGCTAACTCTTCAGTAATCATAACTCTAACGCTGATCTAAATCTTTACATTTAATTTGTATTTGATCCTTGCAGCTTGATTTGTGTATGCTGGCTTTATTTTATTAAATTGTTTTTTTTTTTTTTTTTTTTTTTTGTTCTACTGTATTTACAACCTTTTGTTTTAGAGTTCCTATTTAAGCCAACAGTTGAACACGAGATTTTGGGAAACTGTTTTGGGTTTAGATCAAAATAATGCAAATGAAATGCTGGGGATGCTTATGATGGGATGTGATTAAAAAGGATTAGACAACTTAGTACTTTCTGCATCTGGCTTGGCAAAGTTGTTGATGTGGGTCTTCTGTATGGCTGTTTTGCTTCTTTCCTTCTATAAATTTGTTTTTGAATTGGATTGTTTCATTTAGAATATGTAATGGTTCACATGGAAAGAAACATGCTTTGCGTGAGCCTGAGTTCTTCTGTTAGAGGGTTTTACAGAAGGTATACTTCCTCCACGAATGCGAAGCTATTTTTTGATGTAGTATTGCTTCCCCTTCCTTGTTTAAAAAACAAAACAACAACCCACAAACCCGGAGACTTTATTTACACTTACATTGAGTTAACAAAGAAAGCTTTGCTTGTTAATATGTGTCTGGAAGTACAAATGCAAAATGTATGAAACGTGTGACAACTTAAGCTTAGAGCAATCTCTCCTCTCTGTTCTTGATAGGACTGGATAGTTTTGTCTTTTTCTATGTAATACTCTTTGCTGCCCCTTTCCCACACACCCAAGAGCAAAGTTAACCCCCCTCCCCCAAAAAACCAAACCAAACCAAAACCTATGGTCTTGGTGAGGTGCTAGTTCTGCCTGACAGCACAATACAATGTGATAGGACAGGAAGGGGTGAGGAAGATGGAGAAATGGTATCAGAATAAGATATGTGGAGGCCAGCTATGAAATAATGGTGTTGGTCTATACTTGAGACACTTGATAGAGAATGCAAGTTGAATTGGACTATGAACTTGTAGTAGAGCATCAATACCAAAAGTCTGGTGATCAATGTTATCTGGAAGAACAAAGTACAGAAAGCTTTACAGTAACTACATATTACGAACTTTTGGACTAAGTAGGTTTTCCGTAAGTGTTTCACTTTGAGTAAGGAAAGGATTAGAAATCTGTAGATATATATCATGAGTACAGAGAAAAGAGCAAGTGCTTTTGTGCATGGAGAAATGGAAAAATGAATGTTTTGATTTTCATAACCTTAGTGTATTTTATGTCAGTCCTTCAAAGCATGCTAGAAGGGTATGATGCATTGTTGATATCAAAGTATTGCATTGATACTTTTGAGATATTAGTTTATCTAACTTATTGTTACAGATAGGTCTAGACTGCAACACTGGCTTGAACTTTGTTCAGTCAAATATAAACTGTGGTAGATAGAAAATTTTGCAGTTGAATCAAAGTCTTAACTTGACCATAATTTATTAAAATTTAACTTCAATTTGAAACATTAAGTAGAATGTAAGAGACAACACAAAAGAACTATAATGCTTGGATTGGCGTGAAACTCATTATTAAGTTAGTGGGTGGAATAGATTCTAAATCTGAGAGGTTTGAACTGGAAGGAGAGTGACTGTGGCGTGTAAAAACACCAAAGAAGAGGTATTTAAGTAGACAGTAGTTTCATTAAAAAAAAATAAAAAAAAAAAAATCTCTACTACTTGTCCATAAATACATTTTAGTCAAATCAGAAGAAGGATTACAACCCTGGTGTATTGAGTGGTGCTGAAAAAGACTGTTAACATAGACCGCACTAGGCTTAAAAAGAACATTTTAAAATAGCCTTAGGAAAAAAGTGAGTTCTTCCATAGAGCTTATTTACAAATACAGCAAAAATGTAGCAACAGCAGCACACTGTTCTTTATGCTAAAAATTTGTGGAGTAAACATTTTTAAACCATGTCCCCTTCTTTCTAATGAGTAACAACAGTTGATATTCATTGGATGCAGATGTTGGTGACCTTGATTTTTCCGATCAGCAGTCAGATCTTTGAGTAAGAACTTACTTTGACACATAAATACTGAACTCCAGTCCAGCTGCTATAAATCCATGATTATTTTTAACTTCTGCCTCATATGATAGGGACAATGAGAAATAACCAGTGAAACTTCGGGATTTTATTTTTTGTGTGTATAATACCTAAGAATAAATTTATGCTTTTTTAACAGGATGAGAATTAAATTAAATTGGATATAGCCTGGCAGTCTTCACATTTGTGGGCTGTCATCTTTTTGACAATATGTAATTTAGGGTTTTTTTACTGTTTTTCCAATTACTATACTCTAATCAACCTAACTTTTTAGTCTTATTGACATTTCAGATTCTAATGCAAGAACTGGTTCTATAACATTGTTTTCAGTTAGTCATTTTTGTAAAATGTATTTTTAGTTGACAGAAAAAGTCTGAATCAAGTGATATTGAGTAGTTTCTGGTACTTAGAAAAATGTATTGAAATCTATGGCTTACTGCAAAAAGTAGTATTTATTTTCCATCAGTATAAACAGAAAGCCCCAAAAGGAAAATGTATCCACTGATGTTGATTACTATTTGGGTAAATAAATGGGGTGTTTTTACCTCACAGTTGCCAATACAATTTATCAAAAGTGGTTCAGTAATCTAGCTGTACGTAGTATTACAGATAACTAGTTATCTACAATTATTTCTTCTCCTTTTGCATAATAATGAAAAGAGCTAAATCTGTTGCAACCAAGAGGACATTTTTAATACATTGAAAATCGGGGCACTGCTAGCTTTGTATGTTGTCAGACTGACAAAAAGCTGAGTATTTGCTCTGGATAGTGTAAGTAATCTTTGTTCTTTTGTGGAACCAGAGAAAAGGGCAGTAATGCAGCAGTATTTTAGGCACTTGATCATTCTCAGCATCCTCAGCTGTTGGATGTATGACAAAGTGGCTGTGCACAATTCTGTCCAGTACAAAATGTGCTAAGAAGCGTGTAGTAGGATTGTCTTTAGGTCACCTATGGCCAGTTATACAAAAAATAATTGACAGTTATTTGCCTAATCTGTTTCAGAATGAAACACCCATCCAGGAAGGAGAAAATCTATTTTCATATATATTTACTTTTAAGGGAAAAACATATAAAAGCATCTCATCTGGTTCTCTTTTCCTATAATTTTAAGTCCATTACAGTTCTGTTTAATCCCATCCTATGATGGGATTGGAAGTACTGTGTATTCAAAACAGCTATTGTATCTCCCTTGTGTTATTTCCAACAGAATAGCTTATTACTTGTCACTAGTAAGGTCCTACCATTATAGGAGTATCTAAATATTCTGGTTACTCTTCAAAAGTGGTGATAAATAAATTTTACCCAAGGTATACAATGTTGTGTAAATAGACAAAACAAAGAAAGCAATGGAGAGGCTATAATAAAAGTAAAGTGAACGCTGTAATTTTTTTACTGATTCTGATCACCATCTTGATGTTGAACTTCTGATGTTGCAGAATGGATGCTTCTTTTTTACATAAAAGACTTTTTAAAATACATGACAAGGGATTTCCTCTACTTAAGCTTTTTTTTAAGTAATAATTTAAAGAATGCACAGAAACTATTGGTACTGCACTCACAACAGTATCCATGTTTTGATGATGAAGATGGTGAAAAGTATTACATCTTCATCAAGCTAATTAGATCTGTTCTAAATAGAGATGGTTTTGTAATCAGTTAATAGATAAAGGTAATACACTACTTTAGAAGTGGAAAAAGTATGGAAGAGATACCCTTTACAAAATAATTTTCTGTCTTGTTGACCAAAGACGACAATAAGAGATACAAGGGCTTGTCTTATGACAGTAGCATGGAAAGTTGACTAAAGGTGTCAGGAAATATTCCTGCCTCTTACAGAAAGAGAAGAGTATTCAGGTACCTATGAATTCATTCCATAATCAAATATTATAACTTCACCGTTTATAAAAGGAGTTTCCTCAGCAAATAGTCTCTACAGTTTCTCTGCTTGTATATGTATTTTTGTTGCCTCTGCAGCCAACTTCTTTCTCAAGTGAGATTTTGTTAGAAGTTTGAAGTTTAAAATATCTGTGCTTTACACAGGCAATGAAGTATAAAGAGAAAAATACTCCTTCTGTTATGACTATGAATGACAGTGTTGTCTGAACTTTAGGGTTAGGTAATTGATCAAACATCTTAGTTTCAGCAATACCAATGGCTATTATCAAAGGGATGGTTGCAGTACTGCTGTCAGTCATGCAGTTACTTGTATTTGATATCAGGTGTTTTTCAGCAATAGTAAACAGGACTGTGAAGTAGCTGTCTCATGTAGGAATAACATGTCCAGGCTTAACCTCACCAAAAGATAGCTTTGTCAATAGCTGAAATTTTAAATTCTTGTTGTGTTCACCTGGAGATATTCTTATGGATTAATATCTCAGACAGCCACTTCTTTAGGATTTTCCTTCCTTCTCTGCCATGGTTGGATTCTGACCTTTCCAGGACACCCTAGAACAGTGTGTAGTAGAAATTGTTGTTTTTCTTCCTTTCCTTTGCAAGGGTTTTTTAATTACAGTTCTGTGCCAAAGAATGCATAATTGTTAATTTAAAAATTAAAATTACTAAATTTATTGGGATACTCTAATTTTTTATCTTTTTTAATTTAAGGTTATCTTATTTTGTCAATGAGTGAATGAAATGACTCTTGATCTATTGAGTAAAGAGTCAATTTTGGGTTTTAAAATGATCCAGTTATACTGCTTTTATTTATGCTGACAATTTTCAGTCATTGTAATGACTCTTTGAAATGTCAATTTTTTTAATGTCTTTTTTTCTTTCTCCCCTAGCTGGGTTGAAAACTTTGGCCGAGAAGGTCTGGGCCTGCTGTTGGATGTTTTGGAAAGATTGGTTGAGACAAAAAAGTAAGGATGACTTAATATAAAATTGCCATCTTTTCTTAATATGTAAGCAGCATTTAATTACACTGAATTTTTTTATTGATTCAGCCAGGACAAAGTTGTGAAGAGGAGTCAGCATAAGGTTATACAGTGTTTGAGAGCCTTCATGAATAATAAGGTATGGGATTTTTTTTTAATCTGGAAATCTGAATTACTACAGTTCAACTGGATAATGCACATGATTGGGGGTATAAGCCTGTGCAATTTGGAAAAGCGGTGTGTTGGTCAGGTGTGGTTTGAAGTTCTTTCTGCTGCCACTTCCTCTCTGCAGAAATATACTCAGAGAATAGTGTAAACTTTTGGTGCTGATGTATACTCTTATTACAGAGTAAGAGTCCCATTTTTGACTTTTCTCATTAACTTTTTTTAATTAAGTATTTAATGGACTTAAATGTCATTTGGAATATTTACTTGAGGGAAGTGTCACTGCTTTTTGCTAGATATTCAATACAGTCATTTGGATTTCCTCCAACTCTCCTTACAACTGTTTTTCTGTTGTTTAGTATGGATTGGAAAGAATTCTGGGAGAAGAGAGAAGCCTTTTGTTGCTGATCAAAGCAATTGATCCCAAGCAAACTAACATGATGACAGATATAGTTAAACTCCTTTCTGCAATGTGCATTGTTGGAGAGGAAAACATGTAAGTACCGGATTTAGCCAAAAATAGTGTGATAATTTTACGATATCCAAAACTGTAGTTATACCTTAATGAAATACTAAAATTTTCAACTTAAGTTTGGAAGCAGTATCTGTACTATGTTGTCAGTTTCCAGAATGCCTTTGTTTGTGTTTTTTATCATGGTCATATCAAGAAGAGTTTTTTTTTTCTTGACATGTGGATGTACTGGTTAGATGGAAGTAGTTATGCAGACATTCTTTTGCTTAAATTTTTTTAGCATTACTTTTAAGGTATCTTAACCATTGCAATCCACTAAGTCATTCTTTGGCTACAGAAGTCTCTAAAGGAAACAAGTAATCCTTAAACCTCCTAAATTTGTACACAAGAAATTGAGGCAGGTAAATACTTTGGTAACATGGCTCTTCAGATAACAAATGAACATCAAGGTTAAATATCTCCTGAGTGAAATGCTTTTCTTACAGCCTTGAAAAAATTTTGGAAGCTGTAACAGCAGCAGCAGAGGAAAGGAACGTTGATAGATTCTCTCCTATTGTAGAAGGTCTCCAGGATAACTCAGTTCAGCTTCAAGTAAGCAAATTTTTTTCATAAACCTCTGCAACAAGTAAAAATAAAATTACTTATTTTTCTGTATTGAAAAAGTCATTACAACAAAAAGGAGGAGGGATACTGTTTCAAATAGGGGTCAAATTTTGGAATGTTGTTTATAGTGTTATCTTTTAAAATGCATCATGGGAAGATTCAGTGTTAAGAAACACAGGGGTGTTGCAGGTTAATTTGTTGATTTCTGTTCACCTAAATCTTACAGACTTTGGGAGTTAAATTTATACTGCCTTTTAAAATAAAGCATGAGTCATATAATCAGATGCAAAAAGATTATCTCACTTATGGTGATATTTGCTGAAACTTAAAGATTAATAATAATAAAAACCCCAAGTTTTTTAGGCAACTGCTTTTTATAATTAATGTTTAAAATCAGCAGAAAATCTGTCCCTCATGCTGGCTTTATGATTTCATAAAATTGTACCAGGAGAGTCTGAGGAAATAAATCTTTCACCTTATTTTCAATTTTCAGTTTGGTTCAGTTGGATATAGGGTTTACTACAGAAAGACACAAAGTATTATACTCCATTTGAATAATCATTATAAATCATTGGTCTAAGAGTGTAAATATTAACTCATATTGATTTTCATGTAATTCAGCTGAAGTTAATGCTGTTCATAATTGTCATTCTTTGTTAATATTATAAAAATGGCAAAAGATGAATCTTGAGTTTGAAATAAATGATTGTGTTACTCCACTGTCACCTTTTGTATTAAATAGTCCATGTCTGATCGTAAAGATTTTTGTTTGTTTCATCTGTCTCACAGAAAAGCTAACCATAAAGAAATATTTGAAGGTGGAGAATCATTTGTAGTTGAATTATGCCAGTACTGATGGGATCCTTTTTTTAAAAATTGTCCCTCCTTTCTTATTCTTTCTATCTTATTGTGGAACGGTTTAATTGTATAATCATAGGTTTGGGTTGGAAGGGACCTTTAAAGACCATCTAGTGCCACCCCTCAACCATGAGGGTACATCTTTCACTAGATCAGGCTGCTCAAAGCACCATCCATCTTGACCTTGAACACTTCCAGGGATGGGGCATCCACAACTTCTCAGGATATGATTGGCACTCTGGACTGCAAGCACACATTGCTGTCTCATATCTAATTTCTCCTCTCTGAACATCCCCAAGTCCTTCTCTGCAGGGCTGCTCTCAATCCCTTTATCTCCCAGCCTGCACTGATAATGGTGATTGCCCCAACCCAGATGCAGGACCTTGCACTTGGCCTTGCTGCACTTCATGAGGTTCACAGGAGCCCACTTCTCTAGCTTGTCAAGGTCCCCCTGGATGGCATCCCTTGATGCTCCCATCTTGAGCTTCCTATTATGTGATTTCATGCCTCTTCGTTCTAGAATAGAGCTTCTCACAGTTACAATTACTTATTTACCTTTTTTATTTGTAGTTTCTGAATAAATTGCTTTCTAGCCCTTTTTAGTAATCTAGACATTAATTTGTAGTGTAACTTGTTAAGTAAAAAAACTGTTTTTCTTTTTTACCCAGTATTGTGAAAATCACTACCAAAATACTCTTGTTTACTGAAGTGCATTCTAGAATACACATTCTAGGAGCGCTAAACTGAGGACAAGGGAATATCATACAAAAGATGAAGGAGATTTTCCAGATTGGACGTAAATTTCTTGTAGTAGCTGATCCTTACCATAGGCATTTTTACAAGAATCATTGCAGTTCTTCAGTATTAAATTTAAATATATGATCTCATATATTTCTGTTCTCCTCTGGGGTCTCTGTTTCATTTAGATTTCAAGATGAATGATGTTAACAAGTTCCTATTCAGTATGATTTCTTTTTCTTGATATTTTAGCATTCTTGAGATAGTAAGCAGTATGAATTTGGGCCAGGCATGCAAGCTTGGGCATGTAAGATGTTCAGGACAATATAACATTGGCTCACTGCATCTGGGGCTTTTTTTTGGTTGCATATTTCTTAGTCCTTCTTGGTTTACTTGTTTTACTTGCTTGGTTTATTTTGATATCAGGTCATGATGTAAATAAAGAAAAATGTTCTTATTTGATTAGCTGAAAAACAAAAATATGAAAAGTTTGATTTTCTGTTATGCTTATTTCTATTGCTTTAGTATAATCAATAAGGTAAAAAAAACAATATAAATAATTTTATTCCTATTGCTTTAGTATAATCAATAAGGTAAAAAAATATAAATAATTTTATTAATAAATATGCTGTCTTTGGCATGAATATGGATATCAATAAAAATTTTAAAAATATTTTGATTCAGTAGAGAGAGATGCTTTAGATTATTTACATAATTTAGACCAGGAAATCATATTTTCCAATTTCAGGATATTGTATGTAATTTAAGAGAATTTAGTAGCCTATATTTTCTCTACAGCATATAAAGATTTGAGAATTTCCAGGTCCATCACAGCACTTACAAGATCCCTACATTTTAATAGTATGAAGATCAGTACTTCTCTGACTATTCTTTACTAGCTTACAAGTATTCAGAGTCTGGAAATTAACATTTTGCTTTGAGTGTTAAGCTTCCAAATGTGATCCTGAATTTTCAGGAGTTGTATACACTTGCATGTGTGTAGATTTAATAAGGTGAAAAAAGCTAGATAACTCCCTTTTTCTATATGGTTCAAAAAGTAGATGAAAACTGCCTGAAAGGCAGCCCCTTTGTTTGAAGCAGCAGGTAAATTAAATTAATCCTATGTACTTCTCCCTTTACCCATGATGGGTAACCAAATGGGAATTTTGCTGATTTCCCCCTTGTTAAAAAGTAAATAAAATTATAAGGGTCTCTTTACATCTATAAATGTGTCTTGCAGATTAAACTGAAGGTGAACAGATAGTAGCTCTTTTGGATCAATATTTGGGAATAGGCTTCAGAGATTATAATCCCTTGTGAACAGTTGTCAGTAAGCAGCCCCTTTTAAGGAACAGGTAGATACCAATATTAATGGCAGTTGAGAGAGTTGATATGCAGGGAAAAAAAGGTCATAGCTGATTATATCTAAAAGTTAGGTCTTTCTTATAAACATAAGTACTTTCATACTCAATGTTTACAGCGATGCTCAACTCCATTAGTAAGATACCACTGATGAGATAACTGCATCAGTGCAGAAAACTTCAGCTGAGTTAACTGTGCAGCAACAACTTTTTATTTTTCTAGGACCATTCTTCAGATACTAAACAAGTACTTTTCTACTAGTTATGCCTTCTCATGATTGTGCTATACCTCCACTTGGTATTTTGTTATTCTCTATGAGCATTTTTAAAACTAATTTATAGCTGGCTGTCAACCAGCACCCCCAGGTCCTTTTCTGACAGGCAGCTTGCCAGTCACTCTTCCCCAACC